GAGTTATCTGGGACGATAAAGAAGAATATGGATACAGAAAAGATACGATACAAAACTACTCAGTTTGAGGAAAAATGAGAGAGAGGAAAGTGGCAAGTATAAGTAACTGTCAGTATTGCGCAAGATAACGCAAAACATCCTCCCGCTTCGAGTACAACCGACAGACTGAGCAGTCCCCCTTCAAATTCATGGTAACGGTGTGCCCCCTCTACTACAACGCTAGAAAACGAAAGGAGAATGACTATGGCGTCTTGTAATTTTCCAAAATCGAAAAATATGGTTTTAGCTTGTCCATGTTTGACAAATGACGTTAATTGAATTACTTTGTAATTTGATGTGTATCATCTCGGAGACGGACCTCTTGAAAAATGAAGATTCTGTATCCAAAACTCTGGTATTTTGCCAATTGAAATTGTGGTCCGTATCAATTCTATGCTATATAACGACAGAAACATTCTCCGCGCGAAGATTTTATTTTTGTGTTCGGAAACCCTAGTTTTGAGTTCTCTCATGGCCTAGTCTACGTACAAAGCATCGCAATCATTATATTGCAACTTATAAACTACGTTTTCTTTGTTCAATTTCTACCGGATCTTTGATATTTTTAATAAATCGATTCAATTTATTGAGACTTCTATAGACTAACATATTCCCATCTTCCGTTTTTAACGATCTTAAAATTGTGTACGATAATTTATTAATAAAAGATACAACAAAATAATTTTTGACGTTGATGTAAACTCCGAACTGTTCAATATTCCGATTAATTTTGTTCGCAGTCAGATATTTCACACCGTCATTGATTACTTTAAAAATTACGGTTTACGGACGATTACTTAGTTACTACTTTTCTCTCTCTCATTTTTCCTTAAACTAAGTATGTTTGTAGCGTATCTTTTTTTGTATCCATATTTTTCTTTATTGTCGCGTATAGATCATGCATTTTTTGTAATTTTTTTTTATGCAGAAACACTGAAGAAAATTTCCTAGTGAGCCGAAACGTTTGTATTTTTTTTTAAATTCTCGGATTAAAGAAAAAGTTTACCCGAACATCAGGTGTAGCTCGTTACTACCTTCTCCCTTTTAAAAATTTTTTTTAAATTTTAAATTTTTAAATTTTTTTAATTGTATTATATATATATGTGTATATTATAAACAGATTGCAAATCAGGAAATGCAGTCTTTATCAATGTTTATTATATTATGATGTTAAGCTGAAGCGTAATGTGCAGATCATTAAAACAAAGCCAAAGTCAAGGTTATTACAAATGTCAGTAATGTTAAATCAAGTCCAAAATAAAAAAGTTAAATTGTGAAAATAATATTAACCTTTGGAGGACCGGAAGTCCCTTTAGAGACTTTGAATCATTTTAGATAATTTTTGAGAATTTGTAGTGTTTGCAGCTCTCAATTAGCTTAAAAATGTTTGTAATTGATGTTTGTACATGTATTGGTAAGGGTAGAGTGGATAGAGGGAAAGAAGCGAAAGCGACGCTGCGCTTAGCCGACGAGTGCACTATGGGTATGCCGGCGCACAAGTTTCTCGACAACCGTATCGTGCACGAAATATTGTTTAAAGAAGTGTATTTTATCGCGTGGACATAATTTACTGCTTAAAAAACATCAGAACTGTTCATTAATACGTAAGTAAAAGTAGCATGTTGCGTAGATTTTATAACAAAATAGAATAAAATATATAACAATCGATAAAATATTTTGACGATTCCTCCTAAAAATATTCACAATAATTTTCTATTACATATCGCGTTACAATACAGATGTAATTTGAAAAAGTAATTCGAATAGTCTTGACATGTAACTCTGATATGAAGACATATCCCCGCAAACAATTTCTGATTACGCAGACTTGGCAAGCAAACTGTTTTCTAAAACGCTACGAAAGAGAAACATGGTTTGGTACTGTAAAAAATGTTAGCGCACAAAGACCAAAGATGCTATAAACTGTCGGCAATATACATGAGACTATTGTGGTCGATAACAAATACATCTCTGAAGAAAAAAATACAAATACATACCGACGAAGTTGACGACAAATAGACGGTCGATAACAAGCAGCTCTGTTTTTAAAAATACCGTAACCAAACAATCCGCAAAACCATAGCAGCATCTATTTACGACAGAAAGGTGACTGCAATAGAGTCGATATGTTGAAAGCATTGACAATAGATTGTCAGCAAACGCCAAGCAGATCTGTTTGTGCATTCGTGTGGACTGTTCGCACGCAAGACTACAACACTATCTGTTTGACATCCGCGCAACAAAATGGCGATTATCTGCGGTCGTATTTGTTACCCATGTTGATAACAAATTGTTAGCAGACATTAAGCAGTCTTTGATAGTTGCAACTGGTCATCAATTGGCACACAAATATGTAATAGCTTCTGACGTTTGCACAACAGATTAACAACAAATAGTAAGCAGACTTGTCAACCGCGCTGATGACAGATTGACTAAACGCAATTTAATGTATTGCAGTTTCAAATTCCTGCAGATGCATTATTGATAAACTATACTTTAGAAAGCAGTTTTGCTTATAAGCAAAAGTTTTGCTTATAAGCAAAGTATAGTTTATCAATACTGCTTATAAGTCCTTTTCTTATAAATCAGTAGGGAGATTTTTTATTCGATTTTTATTAAATATTGATCGAATATACTTAATTTAAAATATACCTAGAGAACAATGCTGGAATTTCTAATGTGGAAGAAAACTGCAATTGTCAATCAAAAACCTGAATAAACAAAGTGTTTTCTAACAAGGTTTTGGTCACCAAAAACGAATCCGGTGACGAAAGCACGTCAAATTTCCGAGAAAATTAAGGTTAAATGTATAAAAATTGTCATTTTTGCTATATTTATCATTTTTTTGCGGCCAAACTAAATTTTTTTTACAATTTTACTTACACCACATTAAAGTGCTATCTTTTATCTATAATGTGAATTTATATTTAATACTGTACGACTTTTTAATATACATTATTAACATTAATTTTACATAATTAATATTAATTACATACATAATTAACATTAATTTTATTAATATCCAAGTTTCAAAAATATGTTGAAAACAGTGTAATCAGCATATATTAACAAAAAATTTGTTTGCGTTGTATATATATAAAACTGTATTTTGAATTATATTTAATAATAATAAGAAAAATATTTTTATTTATTAGTGCACTACAATATTTTTAGTAAAATAATAAAATTTACATAAATAATAAATAAAATGTGTAGGATAGCGTGAGAATAAGTAAATAAAAATAATTCTATGTTAATCAAATTATATGTTAGTAAGGAACACAAGTGATCTCGCGGACTGAGTGCAGGGGCTGCAAATATGGAGATTTCGAGTTTAAATCTCGCTATTACATCGGTCCCTTTTAATGGAGTTCATCGGTTGATCGGCGAGCTGAATCAGGCCTTCAGAAATTAATTCGAGTGAAATCTCGAATTAATTCCCCTCCAACAAGGCGATATGCCAGTGACTTTCTTTTTTTTTAGTAAGTAATTCTACTTGGATTCTAGGCGACAGATCTGGTCTGCGTTTGGTAGCAATCTGTCGACGTTTCTGACGACAGATCTGCTCTGTATTTGCTAATGTTCTGTTGACATTTGTGATAACAGATATGTTCTGTACTTGGTGATATTTTGGCGCCAACAGACGATGACCAAACCTGTTCTGGATTTCGTGCCTCACTTTGGCTTCTGTGCTAGTGGCAGATCTGGTACGATTTTGGTTTCGTTTTGACATATCTACATGTTGAACAAATTCAATCGCCAAACCATATCCTACTGAGGGCACAGTAAGCTATGGAGTTGGCATTAAATTCCGCCGGCGATGTTTGACAAATCCACAACATCCCACAAGTAAATTGTTTGCTAGTATAATGCATTTTTATCGACTTTTGTCCTAGAATTGTAGTATAAAACTGTTTTTACATACGTTATTTGTAAATTTTTTACTCTACAATGATGTTAGACACGTAGTCTAACAATATCTACTGATGATATTTAGTTAAAAAACCAAAAATAAGAAATGTTATTTTTTTCCGGACCGGAAGCCCCTTTAGGAACTCGACAATGGCGTCATCTTTTTTGCCATTCAATCTCATGACATTGACGAAAATGTTCTAGCTCTTAAAATAAAAAAGTCAATCAAAACATGTCGGTTCTCAGAAGGTTAATATAAACTTCAGCTGTATACTAAAACAGTTTCAGTGTTGATTATGTACAGCTGGTTTATACGTTGCCATTAAGTAGTTTTACAATTTGATTTCTTTGATCTTGATTTAATACCATGCTTGACATTTAACAATCTTGACTTTGACTTTGTCTTAAAATCTGTATCGCATTTTAAGCTTAACATCACAACTTTGTAAGCATTGATAAAGACTAAAACTCTCCTTTGATTAAAGTATTTGGAACATGTTATAATAATAAAAGTACAAAAACCATTTTTGAATTTCTAGTGATTTCTTTAATTCATTTATTTAAAAATTTGGAACCATTATCACTGTAGATTAATAAAAGTATGTGTATAAATATGTAAATATATATATACACAAATTTTATATATACATACATATAATATTAAATATTGTCTAGTATATATTACACCCACCCACCCACACACACATATATATATTTTAAATCTAAATTTTTTTATTGAATGATTAAATTTTAAATTCAAATAGAATTGTTCAATACGTGTATATTTTTAAAATTATATAAAAAATTAATGATTTGATATTGAAGGTTAAATTTCAAATCAAGTAAATATAAATTGACAAAATAAAATGTAAACTACTTGACTTTTGAAAACAACAAAGTCACAATTATTTAAATTGCTTGCCAAAAAGAGAAAAAGGTACTTTTCTAGTTAATGTTTAAAAAAATGTTTTACTGATGCCAAAATAAGAACAGAAAATCTACATAGATTTAAGACAGTGAAGATCAGAGCAGATCAAAAGTTGACTCACTTCGGCTAGAGCTGTTGGAGATGTTGCAATCCAAGTCCTCAATGTTGAATTGCTGATAATTAGCATGTTCACCGGATCGCGATGACATTGAAATACAATAAGTTATGTCCGCCCGCAATTAGTAAATAGGATTGCACTAATTACACAATGTCGTAATACTTGACGCGCGTGGCACATATATTACATCAAAAGATATTGAAGAATCCTGATCGAATGTAATCGTTCAGCAAACAGTAATGATAATTTCACTAAGACTGCGAGTGAAATCTGATTTTACTGTATAATACATGTATGCTAATATACATGATATAATTTTTCTACTGTTATATTCTGTTTTACATTGAGCACTATATTCTTGCTTACCTAGGATGTATTCCGATATTCATTGCCAATATTGACAAAGCCACAATTACCATTCCAAGATACATAACAATGAGCTGTCAAATTCAATTCAATGTTGTAATGGCTCAGTGAGAACACAGAGAAGAAATCTATACACCAGTTGTACGTGTAGAGATAGTCCGCCTTCAGAGATTTAATTGGTAACATCAGAGAGAAGTCTGAGACACTGAGAGCGGCTAAGCTCATAAGAGAATGTGTAATTCATTTTCCGCCCTGTAAGCCAGCGCAATGTCCATGGCGGTGCACATTCGCAACTACGCAGCCATGTCCACAAGCGACTTGTCGGTACGTATGCTATGTTCAAACGTGGACATGGTTCTATTCCGCGCTATGTCCACGACCGTGCGGTTCTATTCCATACACAAGATGTGCGTAGTTACGCTTAGATATTTTTGGACAATTCTCGGTGTTTTTACACCGACTTTTTCAGTTTATCAGTAATTTTAACGAACATACAACTCCGTGGCTTGTACCCAAACCACGGTTTAGGACCTGTGTCACGATTCCTAAAGACTTAGAATGGCGTATGGACTAGCTTGAAACGGTCCTTTGAGCCATATATGCACCAAACCACCAACCTATTCCATACACAAGTCCAAGGCTGTGTTCAAAATTTATTGCCAGCGCTGGTAGCACTTGCAAACACTGTTCAAAAATGTGTAATAGCACGCTGTAGCAGTGCTGCAAAAGCATAATGACGTCATTAGTATTGTCGTCACTTCCTGCTGTGGCTGCTGCAACTACAAAGGTGAAGCAGCTAAAGCATTAAAGATAGAGACTATCATGGAACAATTGACGCTAATTGATGCGGAAAATAATATCAAATACAATCTAGCCATATCACCAAAAGACATTGAGAAAGCAAGAGTCATATATTTCTTTAATATATGATTTTTAGATATTCATCTTTTTGCATATTGTTTTCCATATTTTTGGGTTAGATTATATCTGTTTTGTATTTACTTTCTCTGCTATTGGCATTGAAACTCACTACAATATCGTTCCAATTTGAAACCTATATTTATGCTGATAGCATACTTAGCAAAATTAGAACGATGTTGGTAGCTTGCTTTTATGACGACATACTTGCAGCGCTGGCAGTAAATTTTGGAACACAGCCCAAGTGTCGTGTTAAGAAAGATGTGCGGCCAGTACCAAGAGCACCGAAGTGGTAGGGATACGTACACAAGCGAGAACCGCCGTTCGTGTGCGCTCGCGGAAAAGTGCAGACATATTATGTGTTCCGTCTCTTTTACACCAAGCCAGCTATAAGGCGAGACACGAGGTATACATATACAGTAGCGAAACTCCTAGGCTGCGTTCCGTTTCACACATATGCGCGCATGTATCTATAATACACGTAACGTATAGTATAGATAAATGCGCGCATATGCGTAACTCGGAACGCAGCCTAAATATATAAAAACAAATTTATGTAAGTAAAATGTAAAAAAATATTAAGAACAAACAGAAAAAATAGAAAGATATATGTATATATTATTAAAATAATTAATATTTAAGAAATCAAGTAACTTTAACAAGTTTTGCTTTAACAAATAATTTTAATAAGTAAATTGTTAAAATAATTATTTATTTTGAAAATATTAAATAAATTAAAATATTAAATTTGAAAAGAAAGGCCGTAAACGATTTAAAAATAAATAAGTTAGACCTTCCAGCCTTCGAACTAAGGATCGCAGTAGTTAAATGAATAATAAGATAAAATATTAAAATTCTTTCTCTCTTTTGTATATACACTACTTGTATATATACAGTATAAAACTACATTGCAAATATATATAAATATATATATATATATAAAGTAAAATTAACACATTGTATATACATTTAAAATTTATATGCAATATACAGGGTGTCCCAGAATTGGTTTAACATCTCTCGTAGGCAGGTAGAAGGAATAAAACTGAGGTGAAAAGTCCTATACCATTTTGCTAGATTCGCAATAGTTGCTGAGATTTTAATTAACAAAGATCCGCGAATAAG